GTGTCTGCCCCCTGGTTGTCATTGTGTGTCATAGCTACCGGTCAGATGGTCGAATGGTCGCACAGTCACTTAGGCTTTTACATATATAGACTAGAGGCCCAGTGCACAAAATTTGTGCACTCAGGGGGTCCCTCAGTCTGGCCTGTGCCCTCTCGCAGTCTGGGACCCCTCAGGGGATGTCCACCTGCTGGCTTAGGCCTGCTCCCTGGGGGATTGGGTCTAAGCTGGCAGTCAGACATCCCTCTGGCAGCCCAGAAGCCCTCGGGGGATGTCCACTTGCCAGAGGTGAGCAGGCCTAAGTTGCAGTCGGACATCCTTAGTGCTGCTGAGGAGGCAAGAAAGGCTCCTGCCATCACTGCTGTGCTAGCAGCCGTCACCCCTGTGGGAGCGCACTGACCACCAGGGGGCAGCTCCTGCATTGAGCATCTGCCCCCTGGTGGTCAGTGTGTGTCATAGTGACCAGTCATTCCCATTCTGCTGTTAGGGTCAATTTGCATATTACCCTTTTATTATATAGGATAGAAGCCTGGTGCACAGGTGGGGGCTGGTTGGTTTTCCCTGAAGGGTGTCCTGGATCAGGGTGGGGGTCCCGCTGGGGTGCCTGGACAGCCTGGGTGAGGGGCTGAGGGCTGTTTTCAGGCTGGCCACAGCCCCTTCAGGATGGGGGAGTCCTGCTAGGGTGCCTGGCTAGTCTGGGTGAGGGGCTGATGGCTGTTTGCAGGCTGGCCACGCCCCCCAGCGGAGACTCTTACTCCATGGGGCAATGGCCAGTCTGGGTGAGGGGCTGAGGATCGTTTTCAGGCTGGCCACAGCCCCTACACGATGGGGGGTCACGCTGGGGTGCCTGGCCAGTCTGGATTAGGGGCCGAGGGCTGTTTTTAGGCTGGTCACAGCCCCTTCAGGGTGGGGGGTCCCACTGGGGTGCCTGGCCGGCCTGGGTGAGGGGCTAATGGCTGTTTGCAGGCTGGCCATGCCCCCCAGCAGGGACTCTTACTCCATGGGGCAGTGGTCAGCCTGGGTAAGGGGCTGAGGGCCATTATCAGGCTGGCCACAGCCCCTTCAGGGTGTGTGTGTGGGGGTCCTGCTGGGGTGCCTGACCAGCCTGGGTGAGGGGCTGAGGGTCGTTTTCAGGCTGGCTACATCCCCTTCAGGGTGGGGAGTCCCAGAGAGGGGCCTGCCCAGCCTGGGTGAGGGACTGAGGGCCGTTTTCAGCCTGCCACAGCCCCTTCATGGTGTGTGTGTGTGGGGGTCCCACTGGGGTGCCTGGCCAGTCTGGATTATGGGCTGAGGGCTGTTTTCAGGCTGGCCACAGCCCCTTCAGGGTGTGTGTGTGGGGGTCCTACTGGGGTGCCTGGCCAGCCTGGGTGAGGGACTGATGGCTGTTTGCAGGCTGGCCAAGCCCCTCAGTGGGGACCCTCACCCCATGGGGGTGTGGCCAGTCTGGGTGAGAGGCTGAGGGCTGTTTTCAGGCTGGCACACCCCCTTCAGGGTGGGGGTCCCTGCTAGGGGGCCTGGCCAGCCTGGGTGAGGGGCTGATGGCTGTTTGCAGGCTGGCCAAGCCCCCCAGTGACCCAAGCTCCCAGCCTCTCTTTTTTTTTTTTCTTTTTTTTTTTTAAGCACCTCTGTGAGCGGATTGCCAGGCTGGCTGGAAGCAGGTATCTGGGATTTATTTTTCTTCTATAATTGAAACTTTGTAGCCTTGAGCGGAGGCCACAGCTGGCCAGGGCTGCCTGGAAGCTTGGCTTCCTCCATCGCTGGGGCAACCCAAGCCTCCTGCTCGCTCCAGCTCCATGGCCGCCGGCCACCATCTTGGTTGGATTAATTTGTATAGTCATTCTGATTGGCTTGTGAGCATAGCGGAGGTATGGTCAATTTGCATGTTTCTCTTTTATTAGATAGGATTACTGTGTTATTTTCCATATGAACTGTAAATTTACTTTTCCCCTACAGGTATAATAAATGAAAACTAAGGTTTTTGTTTACTTTCTGGGTGATACTACTGTTTCCATTTGCTCCCTTGCTAGATGGCTGAAAAGGAACATGAAACCCACTGAAGATCTTCAGTCAGTAATCCAGAAGCTGTCCAATTTTGGGCCAATTAAGTCAGTCAGCCTTTGTGGACAGCAAAGTGCCATCGTGGTGTTTGAGAACACGACTTCAGCATGCAATGCTGTGAGTGCTTTTCACAGCAGGACCCCTGGCACCATGGTGCAGTGTTCCTGGCAACAACCATTTATGTCAAAAGTTGTAAGGGTCCCTTTACCAAAAACCTATGTAAGTTTTTCTTTTTTTATTGCCAAAATGTTTATTGTGAAATGGTCTAAAACAAAGGAAAGCAAAGCTTACATCCAAATGAAATGTATGACACCAACTTGGATTTCTGAATACATTGTGGACTTTGTGCCGGAATGCCAAATTCCAACTATGAAGGCTATAACTGAATACTCTTACCATGCAAAAGTAAAATTTAATCTGCCATGCAACCATTATGCAAGATTTTGGCATAGGATTTGCTTGGAGTAACATTGCAACAGAATAATTGAGAAAAAAAAATTTGTTATAAAACAATAAAGTGATAAGGCCATCTATTTAAGTCTCATACTCAAGGAATATATTTTCTATTTATTACAAAAATTTTAAAATAGTGCAAAAGCAATATGTGCAGTGTGTTATATCTGACATTAAAAAATTATTCTGCACAGGATGCACATGAAACTTTAGTTTGAAGTAAATAATCACATGCCAGAGAGCTCCTCACAGCCAAGAGTGCAAACTACATGTTGGGTCTGAGGAAACACGGCTAGTCCTCCGGATTTCTAGGCAGACACGCATTTTCCTCATAGAAATGCTGCATCAAGAGCTATGAGGCTACGCTACAGTCAAGGGAGCAGAACAAGTTCTTTTTGGCAGTGCTTAAAATCTAACCAGGAAAAGTCTTACTCAAAAGCAGCAAAAGGTACCTGGTTATAGAAAAAGTATGCTCTATCACATATGTGATATGGTGAGACTGCTAATTTTAAAAGGCTGCAATAAATCTAGTGTGTTAAGTTTTTTAAAGTATCAAGGTTTAACTCAGTTTTAAAGTGATCTTTTATGAAACGCTTACCACTCTAATGAAAACTCTGACAATAAAGTTATCTACATCGTGGCACTAGAGAAGTCATTTTGGATCTCTCCCAATGCCACCCCCCCCCCCCCCAATTCCTTGATTTTTATGGGGTCAAGTTTGAATCCCTCAGCTGGTGTTGAAGTTTAACACATCTGCTGCATACTAAAAACCACTGGCTACAAAACAGTTCCAGAGCACCCAAAACAGGCATGCTATGTGCCTTCACACTCTCCCCATTGGTTGTTTATGTAAAAGATCAAATTGTAATTTTGCTAAAAAAAAAACACAAAACAAAGATTGTTAGGAAAAGGGCACTTTTTAAAATAACTTGGCTGTTTTGCAGAACTGTAGACACCTCAATGGTTAAGAAAAAACAAAACTTATTGTGGCATCAGTGTAGCAGGAGAGTACATTTAGCTGTTTCACAGTTTCCTCCAGCATTCTTCTGGGGAAAGAAAACATTTCCACAAGTGGGGATTTATAGCAAAAACCTATAAAATTCAGATAATGTAGTAGTTGTAATTCTGACTTGGGTAATTCTATTTTGGGAATAAAAATTAGATGTGGAACTCTAAAACTGCCAGGTGTAACAAGTTTCTCAATGATGGGTGTTTTAGATGAAATTCTTTAATAGGTGTGACTATCCTGGCATGCTGGATATTACCAAGTCTTAGTATTGGACACTCAATACATCCTCTGTCACCATGACAACCAAAAAATATGCCCCAGCAGTCCCAAATACTGTTAGGTGACAGCACTAGCCCGGTAGAGAACACTGGTATGGTGTCATCAAATTCTAAATGATCAACTGGCTCCAGGGCAATGTGGGAGCAGCAGCTGAGGTTGCCAAGGCCCAGCACATGGGGGTGGGTGGGGGGGCACCTGGAGTTGAGAGGACTGAGGCCCCATAAGGCTCTCATTCCTCCACCAGAGTCAGGAGTTGAACATCAAAACTATGTAAATTCTTAAAGCTTGTTTTATATAATTTTTTATCACGACTCTAGTGAATATAATAATCATAAATATTTCATCACTGAAAAAAAGGCACAGTGAAGTTTATTTAGTTGAAGTATTAGAAATTAGAAATCATAGCACGTCCCCTCCTTTGAAATGCTTAACTTTGCTATATTAGTCATCACAGTTTTGCTTTTTTGGATAAGAAGTTCATGGTTGCATTTATGCATTCGTCTGATAGCCATCTTTCCTGAAGGACACTACTTTCTTCAGCATTAACAGCATGTAGCTTTTCTTTCTCCATATTCCTGATGACCTGTTTTGAAATTCTCATGGACTAAAAAAAAACAAAACCAACAATAAGGTTAAGAGGTCTAATAGCGTGGGATTATTCTAAAATTCTGATTCTTGTTTCTCCACTGTTCATTCAATCTGATTAGACATTAACATATTTGTGTAATATATAAGACTGTGCTTCTCAAATTTTAATGTGCATACAAACCATCTTAGATACTAAAGCTTCTGATCCCAGGATGACAATTTGAGCAGCAAAAATATCAATCAGTCACTACCAATCACATATGAAAACTAAAGTGCTACATTAAGAATCACCTAAAAGTTAAGCTATCTTACCTAGTTTCTCACCTAGAATCAAGACTAAAAGTGTTTGGCAAATACTGCCTATCATTCTCCTCAAAGTTATCCCCAGAAAGAACTGGCCCCTCTGCCTTCATGTCATAGAAATGGAATGCCTATTTGATAAATTTTCTAAAAATTAGTATTGCTAACATTATAATTTTTAATCTCAAATTTAGGTGTACTTAAAGCCAATCAAGATATGTCTCGTGTGTGTGTTTTTTTTAATTGCTTATTTTCTTAAGGTAAATAAATTATTTCCATGGTTCATACAAGTAAAAAAATAAAAAGAATACTAACATTTGGGGGGAGCTTTGAATATGCTTTCAGCCTAGTCCAAACTTCTTTCTGAAAAGTACTATCAGGAAAAACTTCAGTAACAAGTCCTTGAGCACATGCTTCTCCTGCTGTTAACTTCTTTCCAAAAATAAGCATCTCTGTTGCCTGAAATGAAAAGCAAGACTAAGAAAATAACTTAATGAAACGAGGCTGTTAACTTGAGAATTGCTTTTAATAGACATAGCGAGATTTACTTATGGTCTTTCGAGGTTGCTAGTATTTCTCAAAGGAAGAAACTGAGGACATCAATAGGCAATAATTTGCAAACTGAGCAGTGAGGCTCTCTAGAAGGTTTGTAGGGTTGTTGCTTCTGTGTGTTATCTGTGTTGGAGAGGAAGCTGGGGCAGGAATGACCTGAAGCAGGTGCTGACTTTATAACCCACAGAAGATATGATTTTCTGCTTTTATACACTATAAACAATTATTTTTAAAAAGATAAAAAAATCATGGTCATAGGAAATGCCAACCAACTTTTAGAATCCCTAACCTTCAAAATTCCCTTCCCTGGAAATTTTACCCAGTGGTCCAGCTCTGATGGTTTTCTTTTACCTGCACAGGCACTCAAATTAGTTCTATTTGACTGAAGGAAAGTGATAAGACTAATATTCAGTTTCAAAAAAACCCGGTATCACTAAGTATATATATTTCTACACTTGCAGTTTCTCTTCCAGAAAAGTAAGACTATTTCATAGCCAAATGCTTTTAAACCTTAGGGTTATTTCTAGCCAATGTTTCAAAGTTAAAACCTCAATAACAATTCAAGGTATATGACAGAAAAGACTTAAAAAATATGTGACAAAACCCTAATAGCAATGAAAATAGGCTCAATTCCTACTCTCCCTTTCAGGCCTTGAAGAATGTTTGCTAAGCCTTTCCCTATCCCTGTCTCTCTGGTCTTGTCACGAACCCTTTGGAACTATGTACACAGAGCGTGACAATTATGCTTTCATAGACCCAGTGATAGACCTGAGCAGCCACCTCGCCACTCCAGGAACCTTCAGACCCTGCTAAAACCAGCTGATGAAAAGGCTCCGTGACAAAGTGGGACCCCGTGGGGCCTCACATCTGCTGGTACTTCCCATGATTCTGAAAGTAAAGATGTCACTGTATCACTTTCAGTGGATGATGCTCATCCATGAGGAAATTAGGAGAGGAATCAGCCTCGCAGACCAAGGGAGGCGGGCACAGCTCCAGTCCTGCCCCTGAAGAATGCCGCGCAGCTGTGGAGGAGGAGGCCTGTGCCACTTGTGGTGCAGCTGGCACTCGGCAGCCAGTGGAAAGACCAGTCCCCCAGATTTGGGGTGCTGGAGAGCGAGTTTCTGATTTCCCCCCATAGCAGACATTTCCCACAGCCTGGTTCTTCATTCTAAAACTCTTTAAGAGTTGATGAGCAGAAAATTTCCTTCTCTTTTGTTGTTATTATTGAGGGAAAGAGAAGAGAGCACAGGATTACTTTTGGAAAAGAGATGTCATTAAAATTTATCTTTAAGGTTTTTCAAAGGTTACCTTGGCTGGGCCCATTATCTTCGGAAAAGTGTAAGAGGCGCATCCTTCTGGGCTTAGGCCTAGGTGACTAAAAGGAGTATGAAATGTTGCCTATTTGGAGAAGAAAATTAAAAAGAAATAATTTTTGTATGTGATTTAAAAAAATCATTATTTATCTATACCCTCACATTACTTAGTTGAAAACTTTTTAAAAATTAGTATTGTGGTATTATACACACACACACAATTCATTCTTTTAATGTATGCAGTTTGATAAATTTTAACAAATGTATAGTTATGTAACCACCACCCTAATAAGATACAGAATAGTTCCATCACCCCCAATCATCCCCTGTGTCCCTCGCAGCCATCCATTCCTCTCAGCTCCGAAAAACTGCTGATCTGCTTTCTGGTCCTAAAATTTTGACTTTTCTAGAAATTTATATGTAAACTAGTGGCCCAGGGCATGGATTTGTGCACATTGAAAGGAAATTAATTAGAAGAAATACTTTAATATTTAATCGGGCTCCCTACTCTCTGGTTCTGGGGCGCATCACCCGAGAACCACCACTGCCATGTTACCGCAGCTCGGCAGCTCCTGCGTTGAGTGTCTGTCCCCTGGTGGTCAGTGTGCATCATACCTACTGGATGGTCAGACAGTCGCTTAGCTTTTTATATATATAGATGAAATAATATACTGTGTAGCATTTTGTCCTTTTGTAGGCTCTTGTCCTTAGCATGCGGCTTTTGAGAGTCTCGTGTTGTTGTATGTATTACTAGTTTGTCCACTGCATGGATGTGTCATTATTTATCTTTCTATCAGTTGAAGCCATTGGTGTAATTTACAGTATTTTGGCTATTATAAATAAGGTTGTTATGAACACTTGTGTACAAGTCTCTGCAGGAACATGTTTTCAATTCTCATGGAGTGGAATTGCTGGGTTGTGTGGTAAATGTATGGTTTAACTTTATAAGAAGCTACTAAATTATTTTCTGAAGTGGTGTACCATTTAACATTCCCTCCAGCAGTTTATGAGTTCTAATTGCTCCATATCCCTGCAAAACCTTGTTATTATTAGTCTTTTTAACTTTAACCATTCTAATAGGTATGTAGTGGTATCTTGCTGTGGTTTTAATTTACATTTCCCTAATGATTAATAATGTTGTGCATCTTTTCATGTACTTACTAGTCATTTTCATATCTTCCTCGGTGGAGTAGCTATTACAAGTACTTTTCCCACTATTTTTAAATTAGATTATTTTATTATTATTGAGTTGTAAGAGTTCTTTATATACTCTGGTTACAAGTCATTTTCATAATGGTGTCTTTTTCATATATTATTAAGTCATTTATACTTTATTTTCTGTGAGCTATTTGTGCCGTAATCGCAAATTTTTATATTAAGTTGGTGACCTATCACTCTTTAGATGTATTTTTAAAATATATTAGAGAGATTAGCCTTTATTATGTGAGTGGAAAAACTATTTTCCCAATCTGTCATTTGTCTCAATTTCGCCCCAGAGGTTTTTTGATTTGCTTTAAACACTAGGAACAATTTCAATGTTCGTTATTTAAAATAAGTCATTTTTAGTGTTTTTTATATTTCAGAAATATTTCTGTGTTTTTCTTGATGAATATTGACAATATGCAAACAGAATATTTAGGCTTTGTTTCCTATTATCAGATATGGTGTTTTTATTTTAATGAATATTGTTAGAAGGTGTAAATATATAATGTATGCAGCATATTAATCAAAATAATAAAAACATATAGTTATTAATGTCTTCTCTCCCTATTTTCTCTCCCTCCTCTCCCAAAAGAAAGCTTATTCAAGAAAATATACTGAGAAGTCACAGCCTAAGGAACAGAAAACTGAAAAAAAGAAAACTAAAAGGCCAACAACCATAGCTAAGGGGCCACAAACAGGTACATACTAAGCTGACGATGAGCAGCATTTAACTTATTTATAAGCATTGTTATAGGCATGCATTTAATTTATCTGTGGAAATGGAGCAGTAGATGTAGTTAAGGGTTTAGTCTGATGCTCTGGTGTTAGACTGCTGTGACTCTTGGAGTTTCTTAACCATTTGTGCCACAGGTTCCTGATCTGTACAATGTGGATGAGTACCTCTCTCACAGGACTGTTGTGTGCAGTGAGTGACGATTACAATGTGCATCAACAGAGTGCCTAGCACAGTCGAGTACTCAAATACTTACTATTTTTATGATTTCAACCTTTTTATTAACTCATAGAGAAAATGTGCCATTTGCTGACAGAGAAACTAATAGGAGTTAACTATTAATTATAACAAAGAATAATTTGGTTACATGGGTTAAATGTTAACCCATATTTAATGTATGTATTTATTTATGAAGCTGATAATGGTGAATCCTAGAAAATGAATTCCTCTCTACTTGTTCTTACTTCTGTGTCATTCCCTAATTTAAAATTAAGACCTGATTTAATTCAGTAGGGTGAACTCTTAGCAGTAGTCATTATTTGTTAAATATTTTACTTTGGACCAAATCGCTTAGCATTAAAAAAATGTATGTTTAGCCCTACCCGGTTGGCTCTGGATAGAGTGCTGGCCCACAGACTGAAGGGTCTTGGGTTCAATCCCAGTCAAGGGCACATACCCAGGTGCAGGCTCGATACCTGGTCCTGTTGTATGTGTGTGCAGGAGGCAACCAATTGATGTGTCTCTCTCACATTGATGTTTCTCTCTCTCTGTCTCTCCCCTTCCTTCCACTCTCTAAAAATCAGTGGAAAAATAACGAGTGAGGATTAAAAAAAAATGTTTATATTTATATATTAAGTATATATTAGCTACACACACACATACAATGTCCCCCCAAAATGTATACACACTTTAACAACTGATAGCTTTGAAAATGAAATGTATTTTCATAAACACTGCCATTATCATTATTCAAAGTATGTGTATACATTTTTTGGGGAAACTAATTTTAATTTTAATTCTAATTTATATCATAAGATGAAAGTTCCAGAAATCTTTAGAAGGATAATGTATATGATAGTCATTTTGAATACAGTGGGAGAATCAGGACAAGATTCAAATATGATATTTGCCCTCTAAGTAGTGAAGAGTGAGACCCCCAAATTCAGGCCAGGTACCCTTCATAGCTAAGGGGCCACAAACAGGTACATACTGAGCTGACGATGAGCAGCATTTAACTTATTTGCCACCCCTGTTCAAAGCAGATCAATTAATTGGTCATTTAACACAAAGAATGTAGCCAAAGACTACTGATTTCTGCCTTTGAGCAGAAACTTCCACATATAAAGGTTAGGCAGTGTAGATGCTAGAATTTCATTTGCTCCCATTATGGGAAAATTATTAATAAGAATTAGATCTGCCAAAATGCCCAATCTGGTTAAATGGAATCCAGTAAAAGATAAACAAAGTGTTAGGGACCCTATTAAACAGGCCTGGCTCTCAGTGGGGAAAACACCTCCAAACACAAGTAGGACTCTCATCAGTGGTAAAAATCACGTTTCCCACCAGGTTGCAGAACAGCAAATTTTACCATGACATAATCAAGCGCCACTCTAATAACCAGATAACCCTAGAAGTGGTTACTAATTCTACAGTAAAAAGTTCTAAGATAAATGTTCATCATGTCTTCGCTTGTAATGACAAAAACTGGAAGCAGCCAAGGCTTCCAGCAGTCAGAGGCTGGTTAAACCAATAAGTTAAATAACTCAAATGTTAGCACTAGTTATCTCTTGAGTGGTAGCTAAATGATTTCTAACTTTTTTCTCTGTACTTTTCCATATTTTTCAAAATTTTCTACTGAAGTAAGAACAGAAATTAAAATCAGTATCATTCAATGGTGAACACAAGACTGAATTGTGTTTTGGGCAAGTCAGTCCTCTGAGCTTTCAGTTTTCTTATCTGCAAAGGAGGAAGTGAAAGTAGATCATGCTCAAAAATGACCTTCATGCCGAAACCGGTTTGGCTCAGTGGATAGAGCATCAGCCTGCGGACTGAAAGGTCCCAGGTTCGATTCCGGTCAAGGGCATGTACCTTGGTTGCGGGCACATCCCCAGTAGGGAGTGTGCAGGAGGCAGCTGATCGATGTTTCTCTCTCATGGATGTTTCTAACTCTCTATCCCTCTCCCTTCCTCTCTGTAAAAAATCAATAAAATATATATTTAAAAAAAAAAATGACCTTCATATTCTAAAATTCTAAACTGTAGCATTCATTTATTAGGAAAAAAAGTATCAAATAATCCACTTGTATAACCTGCAAAGATGCTATTCCCTTACCCCCTCTCCCAACAAGCTTTTAAAGTCTCCAAAATATTTTAGAGTAACATGAAAATTGAATCACTGTTGTGTAATTTGATTAAAATACAGAAAGAGTTGTAAAATGAGTTGAGAAAAGAGTTGAGAAAATGTTCACAACAATATTGGTGTTTAGAAAAATTCAAAATAAAATGAGTCAAATTAGTTAGACTAATTCTTTGGGAAAAATTTAAATTTAGTCCATTCAACCACAAACAATATGTAATCTATTTACTACTAGCAACAATAATGGAGAGTCAAGGATCTCATTTTACTGGCATTACTTGCTAAGTTTCTGGGAGCTCACCTACCCTGTCAGAGGCATACACAGCATCGAACAGTCCGAGGATGGTGACGGAGATCCCCACAGCTGGACCGTTTACCACTGCAACCAGAGGCTTAGGAAAATCTATAAAAGTGCCTACAAAATCCCTACAGAAATAGAAATACAAAAGCATGTTTAAATGTTCTAAAGCTGCATTATGGAAGCACAGGCAAGACAGCAGGACTCTGAAGTAACAAACTCTTCTGGCCAGACTGGGTGTTCCCATCTCACCCAGCAGGCCTCCCTGTCTTGCCACACCAGATGCATCCAGGACAGCCATCTGAATGGCACTTGACAGCTCACAGAGTGAGTCCTAGATTTGACGTTGGTTCAAATCTTGCATTGTGGGCAGTTAGGTCAGGACCATAAAGCTGCTGTGGACCTAAGAGATTAAGATGGCTGACTGAGCATATGCTGCATATCACAGCTCAGAGGGAATCAAAGACCCTGCAGGGATAAATGAGACAGGAAGACGAGCCTCACACCTTCTGTTTTTTGAGATTACGTCAAAGTCTCCTATTACCAGCAATCATGGAAGTCATGAATTCCTTTGGCTGCATGATAATTGCTAAATTCCTCTGCCTCAATATGAGAGAATTTTATTTCCTTTATTTACTAGTTTACTTTTATGCTTTCCAATCGCATCTCATGTAGAGCAGAGGATGAATAGGTAACAGAAGTTAAAGAGATAGAATGAATGTCTGCCTGTTGATAAAGCAGTTTGGAGAAATATGCCTGTTCAAAGTCACAATTAATCACATGGACACAAGAAGTATTTATTTTTCTTTTGCTCAACTGATTACCACTTTGATCGAATATGGATGAACCCTCTGGGACCAGAGAAATGACATTCTTACCTCAGCATAATAGCACTTTGTTTGGCTTTCTCTTCTACTCCACCAGGGGGAATATCAGTGAAGTTAGCCAGGTCATTCCCACTACAGTAATAGTCGCCATTTCCTGTAAATAAAATCAACAAGCTCACCTTTCATTCATTCTATAACTGTTGAGAATCTATGTACCAGGCTCGGTGCCAAACACTGGAAACACACTGGTGCACCAGCTCTGGTTCTTGCCCCAATTTACAGATTAGTGAGTAAAATAGACATTGATTTTAAAACACACAAATAAGTGTAAGCAATGAAACTATGACACAAAGGAGTGGTACATGACAAGAATATGAGTATATGTAATAGGGGGTTTGGTTTAATCAGAGTTTTGGGAGGGACTTTTCTAAGGAAAAGTGTGTGCAGGAGGCAACCAATCGATGTGTCTCTCTCACATTGAACTGAGATCTGAAGGAGAGGCAGGGTTAACTAGAAAAAAAGGTGTGAGAACAATATTCATGCAGAAGAAATAGCATGTGCAGAGGTTCTGTGGAGGGGGTAACCCTAGTGTTTATGATGGGTTCAAAGAAGTACCATTGTGCCAGGGCAGAAAAAGCAGGGGGCCGGGGGAAGCAGCTGGAGTAGGAGTAGGATGAGGATAGGTAGGATAAAGCATGCAAGGCTTTGGAGATCCTTCCTTTGAAGAGCCATTGAAGGTCTTTTCTTTTTGTTTGTTTTAAAGTATAATTTACATACAATAAAATGACCAGTTTTAAAGACTCAGTTCCATGATTTAAAAAAAAATGTTTTTATTGATTTCAGAGAGGAAGGGACAGGGAGAGATAGAAACATCAATGATGAGAGAGAATCATCAATTGGCTGCCTCCTGCACGCCCCCTACTGGGGATCCAACCTGAAACCTATGCAGGTGTCCTAACTGGGAATCGAATCATGACCTCCTGGTTCATGGTCAATGCTCAACCATTGAGTCACACTGGCTGGGCCAGTTCAGTGATTTTTGAGAACTGTAAATATCTGTGTGATCACAATTCAAAACATCCATCATCCCAGAAAAAGTTCCCTTAAACTTCTACCCAACCCTGTCCTGAGGCTCTCTGGCTTCAATTACCATAGTTTTGCCTATTTTAGAAGTTTATGTAGCTGGAATCATACAATATGTACTTTTTTGTGTGTCTTCTTTCTTTTGCTCAACTATGTTTTAAAGATCCACCATGTTCTTGTGTGTGTGTCAGTTATTTATTCCCTTTTATTGATGAATAGCATTTCATTGTATAGTCAACTAGAGGCCTGGTGCACGAATTTGTGCATGGGTGGGGTCCCTCGGTGTGACCCTGTGGGGACTGGGCCGAAACTGGCAGTCCAATGCCACCTGCTGCTCCCACTCATCCTGGCCCTGCTGCACTTGCCCCGGACTCGCGCCCAGTCAGTCCTGATCTGGAGAGGCTCATGCTGCTGCAGCAGGACTTGCCAGTCATGAGACCTGCATCTGATGCCCATCTAGAGGGGGGTCTAGGGGTCCAGGATGTGACTGGCCCTCCAGGCGGGTGGTGGGACACCCTTGATGGCCCAGAATCCAGATCCCTTCCATTGACGTTCACCCCAGTTGTTGGGAGCAGCTTTTATATCATTTCTTCCTTGTGGAGCATCTAGGGAGGGGAAGCGGCCAGGACATCCAAGGCTGACTTCTAGGAGGCTGGCAGTGTGGTCTGTAGGTGCCTGGCCTGTTCTCCAGATATTAGATCTGAGGGACTACTGAGGGAGTGGCTGCCATTGGGCTGGTGGGCCACCGAGACAGGTGGTCAGCTGAGCAGCACTCCCACTGTGGGAGTGCACTGACCACCAGGGGGCAGCTCCTGCATTGAGCATCTGCCTCCTGGTGGTCAGTGCATGTCATGGTGACTGGTTGACCAGTTGTTCGGTTGCTTAGGCTTTTATAAATAGACTAGAGGCCCGGTGCATGAAATTTGTGCATGGGGGGGTTCCCCTCAGCCCAGCCTGCACCCTCTTCAATCTGGGACCCCTTGGGGGATGTCCGACTGCTGGTTTAGCCAGGATCAGGGCTAAACCGGCAGTCAGACATCCCCTTCACAATCCAGGACTGCTGGCTCCTAACTGCTCACCTGCCTGCCTGATCGCCCCTAACTGGCCCCCCCACCAGCCTGATCACCCCTAACTACCTCTGCCTGCCAGCTTGGTCACCCCCAACTGCCCCCCCAACCCCTGCTGGCCTGGTTGCCCCTAACTGCCCCTCCCCCTGCCTGCCTGGTTGCCCCCAACTGCCATTCCCACCGGCCTGGTCATCCCCAACTGCCCCCCTGACAGCCTGGTCACCCCACGCAACCTGCTGTTCAGTCGTTTGGTCGTCCCTCACTAATCCCCCTACCGGCCTTGTCGCCCCACTCAGCCTGCTGTTCGGTCGTCCGTCCAGTTGTTTCGGTCATGACAGCCCCTGGCTTTTTTATATACTAGGATAACTTGATCATTTATTCTCTTATTGATGGACATTTTTAAAAAATATATTTTTATTAATTTCAGAGAAGAAGTGAGAGGGAGAAAGAGATAGAAACATCAATGATGAGAGAGAATAACTGATTGGCTGCATCCTGTGTGCCCCCTACTGGGGATCGAGCCCACATCCTGGGAATGTGCCCCAACTGGGAATGGAACCAGGACCTCCTGGTTCATAGGTTGACACTATACCACTGAGTCACACTGGCTGGGCTTGATAGACATTTTGTTGCTTTCAGTTTTTGGCTACTGTGAAGTAGGCTACCATGATTGTTCTTTGTACAAGTTTTTTTTTTTTTTTTTTATAGATATATCCTTAATTTATCTTGAATTTTTGCATTGGTATGTCACTGAGCTGATGTGTAACTCTATCACAAGTTGCCAACTAATAACTACAAAATGTTCTCCTATCAGAAATGTCGAAGGGTTCCAGTTGTTCTACATCATCACCAATATTTGATATTGTCTGTTTTTGGATTTTAGCCAGTCTAGTGGGTGACATATCTCAGGGTGGTTTTAATTTGCATTTCTTTGATTAATGATATTGAGAACCTTTTCACTTCTTTTATGAAGTGTCAAGTCTTTAACCAGTTTTTAAATCTGATCGTTCATCCCTGGCTGTTTTTGCTCAGTGGGTAGAGTGTCAGCCTGCAGACTGAAGGGTCTCGGGTTTGATTCTAGTCATGGGCACATATCCGGGTTGCTGGCTCCATTCCGGGTAGGGGGCATGCAGGAGGCAGCCAATCAATGATTCTTTCTCATCATTGTTTCTCACTCTCCCTCTCCCTTCCTTCCTGAAATCAATAAAAATATATTTTTAAAAAATCTGACGGTTCATCTTATTAATTAGTAGTTCTTTATATATATATATTCTGAATATTAGTCCTTAATCAGATTTTTATATGGCAAATATTTTTTCTCCAGCCTGTAACTTTATATTAATTTTAAATTTTGATAGTCTAATTTATAAATTGTTTCTTTTATGGCTAATGCTGTTTTGTTGTTTTCCTGTCCAAGATACCTCTGCCTCTCCCAAAGTCACAAAGATATTGTTCTGTTCTAGAAGCTTTATGTTTCTGGGTTTTATGCTTAGGTAAATTAATTTTTGTGTAAGGTGTAAGATGGGATTGAAATTTATTTTCCCCCATATGGAAATTTAGTTGCTCTGGCACCATTTGTTAAAAGATTTTTCTTTCTCCACTGAAGCGCCATAGTGCCACTAAAGACTTTTAAATGGGGGAGGAATAGCTTTTTATTTGGAAAAGATTATTTTGAATGTAGTGAGGAGACTGGACTGGGCATGAGAAAGAAGAAGGCAAAAGGGAGTCAGGGAGACTAGATATGGGCTGACTTCAGTTCAGACCGAGTCCGTGGTGGCTTGGACTAGTGCCAAGAAGACAGAAAGAAAAAAAGATCGATTCTTCCAGAGATATTGATAAAGTGAAATGAGATTAGACTGGACACGGAAGTTGAGGAAGGGACAAGTATCAATAATGAATGCTAGGGGCCTGGCCGGCGTGGCTCAGTGGTTGAGCATCGACCTATGAACCAGGAGGTCATGATTCGACTCCTGCTCAGGGCAAACGCCCAGGTTGTCAGCTTGATCTCCAGTGGGAGGTGTGCAGGAGGCAGCTGATCAATGATTCTCTCTCATCATTGATGTTTCTATCTCTCTCTACCTCTCCCTTCCTCTCTAAAATCAATAAAAAAATATTTTAAAAATGAATGCTAGGATTCTGATCTACATAATGGTACATATGGAACCACCACTGTAATTTGGAACACTAAAAAAGACCCACGTAGAGATGTGGGAAGTGACACCCATACCAGTCTGGAACCCTGGGGAGCATCCTGGACTAAAGATACTGACATGGGAATCAAAGGCTAAAGACTTTTGTTGAAGTTTAATAGTAGGCATGGATGAGAGGGTCCAGGGAGAACACAGATCAAGAAGGGAAGAGTGCCTAGGGCTAAACCTTCGGGAATACTTCATTTGGTGGCCACATAGAAAATGAATTTGCAAAGGTGATCAGAGAGAACAACCAGGAACAGGAGGAAAACCAGGGGCAGGCTGTGCCCCTACAGCCTAGAGAAGACAGAGCTTTAAGAAGGAGGGAAAGTCAAATAAAGCCTGAAAATGTGGATTTAATTATATAATGGTCAGTGGAGACCTAAGCAAAAACAGAGATCACATGGGCTCGAGGGCCAGTTTCAAAGGAAAGATTCAAAGGACATGTTTGTTTTGTAAGCAGGGCTTTACACAGTTATATGTGGGGTGATGAGAAGCAAAGAGCTGTATTAATTTCAGCAGTATTACTACATAATGTTTGTTCCTCAATTTCTTCCTTGTTTCCACTAGAAGGAAATAGTGTCATAAACAGTATTTTCAACAAATTTCCGAGCAATAAATCTTTTCCAAAAAATGCTTATGGTTATCCTATATCTATCCATCCATCCATCCATCCATCCATCCATCCATCCATCCACCCACCTACCCACCTACCTAAAACATTAAGAGCTGAGCTGTCCTATGGACTCAAAATAGAAGTGATGGACAATAGAAAGAAATGAAAAGGTGCCTGAGAGAATCCAGGAAAAAATGAAAGAGAAAACCATAATCATTAAAGAAATGATGCCATTAGAAGCAGTAAAAGGAGAAGAGACATTGCTAAAAATGCAATCAAGGCATTGAAATACAGGATTGAGACAACTGAGCAAAACAAATGGAAGACTACAGAGTTAAGAATTCAGAGAAAATAATAGATAACAGATCCAGCAGACCAAACATTACTTTTCTATAACTAGAATTTCTTTCAAAGAGAACAGATCAATTGAAACAAAAATATTCAGAGACATTATCAAAGAAAATTTAAAATAAGGCCTTAATAATCAGTTTAAAAAGGGTGTGCACTGCCTAGGGAAAAGTGATTTAAAAAAATGGGAAAGTATCCCATGGTCATCTAGAGAAAAAAAAAAGATCTTAAAGGACTAAAACCAAAATTAATGGTAGTCTCAAATATCTCCCCAGCAACATTTGATGCTAGAAAATAATGGAGCTCTATTTAACAGATTACACTTGGAGAGAGGTTTAAGGATATCAGGGGATTCATGCTCACTTCCTCACCTTTCATGGAGGCAACCAACAGATACTGCCCAAAGGGAGTAATAGAAGATAGAGATGTTTATGTGCACCACATAAAGCTGTAAAAGCAGTAAAAAGCTTCCAAACGGTGAGGAATAAAACACACACTAAGCAAAATGAGAAACACAGACTACCAAGTAAAAAATAACAATTAAAGGAAGCATTATAAATGACAGCATGTAAGATGCCAGAACTAAAACCCAACATATCTGTCATATACACAAACCTTTACAATAAATACACATACGATCAGAGGAGGAAAACCCAAAAAATGTGCTATATGAAACAGCCAATAAAAAATAATTCAAAAAAGTGTCAAGTTAAAAGATCAATAAAGGTTTACAGACAAGTGAAGACAGTACTGAAGCAGGTGTTATGGCATTAATATTTGACAGAGTTGATTTCAAGGCAAAAAGCATTAAATGAGCTAGAGGGCCAGTTGGCAATAAAGGATAAATTCCATATTGAAGAGACTAACCATAAATCTTTTAGTATCATCAAGATAAAAACATGCTTTAAAACAAAGGCCTATTTTTTTGACACAAAGGAGAAAGTGACAGAAACAAAATAGTGATAGATGCCTTTAATTCATTTTTTTCCATCCAAGACAGTCATTAGAAGAAAAAACAGAATTTGAGGAATCAAAATAATATAAACTGACAATTTAAATTCTATACCTTAAAAATGATGATAACCCTTGCTGGGTGACTCAGTTAGTTGGAGCACTGTCCTGTACACCAAAAGGTTGCGGGTTTGATTCCTGGTCAGGGCACATACCTAGGTTCTGGGTTCTATCCCTGGTCGAGGTGCATATAGGAGGCAACCGATCAATGTTTCCTCTGACATTGATATTTCTCTCTCTCTCTCTCCCTCTTCCCCTCTCTCTAAAAAATGAAAATCAATAAACATATCCTTGGGTAAGGATTAAAAAGAATTAAAAAAAGAATAAATGTATTACTTAAAATTATTTTTCATATATTATATTGTACATTATCATATATATAAAATAGCACAGAACTGTTGAAGTGCTCCTGGAGGATATAAAAATTGGTCATTTTCTGCCAAGAGCAAAAGATAAAGAGAGAATCTTAAAAACAGCAAGAGAAAGAAACTCAGTTACCTACAAGGGAATACCCATACGACTGTCAGCTGATTTCTCAACAGAAACTTTGCAGGCCAGAAGGGAGTGGCAAGAAATATTCAAAGTGATGAATACCAAGAACCTACAACCAAGATTACTTTATCCAGCAAAGCTATCATTCAGAATTGAAGGTCAGATAAAGAGCTTCACAGATAAGGAAAAGCTAAAGGAGTTCATCACCACCAAACCAGGATTATATGAAATGCTGAAAGGTATCCTTTAAGAAGAGGAAGAGGAAGAGGAAGAAAAAGGTAAAGATACAAATTATGAACAACAAATATGCATCTATCAACAAGTGAATCTAAGAATCAAGTGAATAAATAATCTGATGAACAGAATGAACTGTTGATTATAATAGAATCAGGGACATAGAAAGGGAATGGACTGACTATTCCTGGGGGGGAAAGGGTTGTGGGAGATGCAGGAAGAGACTGGACAAAAATCATGCACCTATGGATGAGGACAGTGGGTGGGGAGTGAGGGCGGAGGGTGGGGCGGGAACTGGGAGGAGGGGAGTTATGGGGGGAAAAAAAAGAGGAACAAATGTAATAATCTGAACAATAAAGATTTAATTAAAAAAAAAAGAAAATAAAAAAAAAAATTGGTCATTTTCTACTTCTTTATCTTCAAGATAGAATTTTCAATAGATAGTAATATACACTAAATTTTAATAGATTCTAAAAAAGTAAAATTAGTAAAACTGATTATTTCTGATTATAATATATAAAGCTAGGAATGAACAGAAATGGAAACCCCCAAACAAACTTTCTGGAAATTAAAGGAATATTATCATGTAATGATTAGATCAAAGAGGAATTAGAAACCAAAAGTGGAAAATATATAGAAAATAATGAGTGAAAGCACTATTTATCAAAACTTAATCTTTCAATTTTTTAACCTATTAATTAGTGTAATAATAGGGCCTAGTCACATAGGCTTGTTACGAGAAAGCTTAAAAAAATTAAGAAATTAAAAGAAAACTTTAAAAATAATTAAAGTGCTTAGAGTGCCTGGAAAACAGAAAGTATTATATATATATTAACCATTATTATCATTGTTATTAAACTTAGGAATCGTACTTTTAGGAATACAGCCTATATTTTGCATGTTAGTTCTAAGACATATATCCAAGGTTACTTACTACAACACCATTTCAATAGCAAGAGACTAAGTACAATCTACATGTTCATCAATAGTGGAATGATGAATTATGAAATCCAAAAAATTTAATACTAGTACTTTGTAGTCCTGAAGAGAAAAACTTAGAAGTGTATGTACTGGCAGAACAATTTTTCAGGAAATGTTAAGAAAGGAAGGTGGGTATAATATGTGTGTATTATATGCTTCCTTTTCTGTTTTTGTTTTTTTTTAAGTGGAGGGAAACAAACACACACATGCTTGTATACACATAGACAACTTTCTGAAAGGCATCAAGGAAAACTGAGTTTTTCTAGGAAGCAGGATTGGGGTTCCAAGGAGAGTGAGATTTAGTTTTGTTATGTAACTTTCATTTTGTTTTTTTAAAAAAATACCATGTACCTATATTTTACTTTAATTAAGAACAGTTCATTTAAAAAATATAAAACATTTTTCTCCAGTATCAAACCAATGCTATTTCTAGACTCTTTTTCTTATATTTATTCTCTTAAATTATCTGGGCATACAAATGAAATACGAGGGCCATTTTCAACTCTTCCCTTTTATTCCTCCCTCGAATCAGCTATTAGAGTCCCCCCCCCCCCCGCCCGCCTCTATTTTTTAGTAAGACGTATCTGATATCCCTAGATAATTATTTATTTTACAAGTTGTAATGAAAATTTAAAAATAAAATCACTCTTGCTTCTGCCATGCCTACAAACAGTAACAGCTACTTCTAACAGGTGTCTGCTGTGTGCCGTGCCCCTTACCTGCATTATTTCATGTCATCATCTCATCCATTCAATGGCGTTAGTAAAACACTGTCTTCTCTGTTCAGAAGCAGAGGTCACCCACAGGAGTAAGGAGTGAACCCAGGATTTACCTCAAGTTGATCTGAGTCCCCACTATGCATATGCCCATTCCAAATCCAACAACTTCCATTTTCCATGTTTTCATCAGCTCAGGCCCATGAGCATCCATCTTATTTTCCAGTATAATCACAATACTGATATATTTTTAATTTTTTTAATATCTTAAACATTTTCTATACTGTTGATCTTTAGAATTATACTTTTGAATGCTTGTGCAATATACAGTCTAATGGATGTTCTATAATTTGCTTCATTATTCTATTATGGCAACATATTTAGAATGTTTTCACAAAGTAATGCTGCCAAGATTACTTTTCTCTTATTATTGGCAAGTACCCAATTTTAGTACCAATAATACTTTCCTTACTTATGTGTATCTGCTTTTTATAAATACCAATTTGTGCCTATTAAATTTTTCATATATTTAAGAATTAGATTATCTTAGTACTGGACAAGATCTTAGAGCTTATGTACTCAATTTCCTATCTAGTAGGAAATCCCCCCAAATAGAAATTTAATTAAGAAATCTAAGAAAAGTTTTGCTCTTCCTCAACTACTTGTAAATCGCCCAGTCTCTCTGCTGAACTCTAATACCCTGTTACTCCCCTTTTTCACTTTGCCAAAATACCTTACATATCCAATGTTGCCTCACTGTCTTTGGAATTTTCATTGATTTATATCTATGTGAATTCCCCATGCATGTATCACACTTTGATTTTCTCCTGTTAAAAACAAACAAACAAAAGGAATCTAAGAAAATGTCTTACCTGTTACAACAGTTATGGTCGAGTCATCCTTGCTTGCAGCTTTAAGTGCAAGCATGATTTCTTGATACATCTATGAAAAGGGGAAGATGATAACCATTATGGGATGGATTCCCTAAATGTCAGTCTGCAGGCCTGCTCTCTGCACAGTGCCAAACACTTATGTTGGTTGTATTTAAATAATCAAAAAGCCAGCCCAATACACTTGAAGGGATTTTTATTCCTTTTACGATTGCTTGTATATGTACCAAGTGCTATAGTGGATGCTTTTTCCAAAAGTAAACAAATAAGACACAATCCTTGAGCCTTTGGAATAGAGGGGTTTGCTCTAAAATGGGTGGAAAGTACAAAGTAGCAGGAAACTCAGAGAAGGCGTGATACTTATCTAGGGTGGATATGATGGGAAGTGGCCAGAGAAAGATTTCCTTGAAGCAACTTTTCAACTACAACCTCAAGAAAGAGCATGAGTAGCCCAGGTAGTCAGTCTGGGAAGTGTTAATGATGCTAAAAGACTGGGATTTCCAAGACACTGTAAGGATAGTGAAGGACAATAGGCCCAATATTTTAAATCAGCAACATTGCTGAAAATACATATATGAATAAAGGTAAAATCTTTCCACTGAGGAAGGGGATAAGGAAGTCATTCCATTATTATTATAGTCATGATGACACAGTAGGACAGGGTAACTGGCAAGTGCCGGATTAGGAGATGGATATATCAGGGTTTTGGGTTAGGTTTTCCTCCATATTTGTTATGTGAATTTGAACAACTAGGCTCCTTGTGGGAATGTGGAAACGGCTGACACATACTAGGCTCTGTAAAGAGTAGCTAGTATTATTATTATTAACAAGATAATACAGAAAGAGTCAGGATAAAAGGAAAAACAGCTTTGAAAACCAAATGTTTTATTAATTGAATGGCATATATCCAACTTCATGAAATTCTTATTTAAGACGTTAATGATAAACTCAATGAAAGGGGTCAGAGCCCTCTCAAATTTCACTTCTAGTGCAGCACCAAGCATCCAATTAACTCCCTGTAATTTTTTTTCAAGGTGAAATGGTTAAAGTGCTTATTTTTATTATCATTCTAATTCAATGACAGATTCAAAGACTAAAGTTGCTCTTGGGAAGTAACACATTTCAAGCAGAGATGGGTTATAATTGATTTTAGATGAAGTCCTGCTCTCCTTTCTCCCTCTACTTATTCAAAATAAAGCTTCATGCAGGCAGAGCAGTGCTCACTCTCAAGCCTAAGCGACATGAAAATACTTCTGGGATGGTCTATGCCAACCTTAGAGAACCTCCACACACGTTCTCGCACATTAACGTATGTTCCATTTATATTGATTTATCTGTGCTTCCATCATTGGGAAGTTGTAGTTAGTTCCCTTTGGGGAACTCCCTAAAGCTCACAAATTTAGAACCTACCTGAAGCTCACAGATTCTAAATAATGAAGGCCTACCTCTTTTGTGTGAAGAAGTAGCCACAATTACTAACCTTTCTGCAAAAATCAAATGATATTATTACAAAAACAGGAATGATACTGAAACACTATAGTTTTTGAGTATAATAGCCCGGCGGGGGTGGGGGGAGGTGGAGAACTCTAGGGAAGGTAACGTCACCTGGGTGCTGATTGCATTCTTTCTGGTGGGCCGGTTGAACATGATCTTTGTGATGCCGTCTTCAGAGGTCACCACTAGGTTTTCATATTCCTGTTGTCCCCTGTCTGCTCCAGGCTTCACTTGGGTGGAGGACTCAGATGAAGAAGTCAAACTGGATACCAAATCTACATAGTTCTGCCTGGCAGTTTCCTGAAGAGAAGATGACAAATAACTTAAGCCCATGGTCGACAAAAAAGCATTTGGAGAAACTTACTATGCTAATAAGTAGTACCTTGCAATGGAGAAAGAGGTTCTGATTCAATAGAATTACATTAAGATCTCAAGGGCTCCATCTATAATGGATTGATAATGAGAAACACCCAACTTCCTTTAGGAGTACAGCAAGTAAAATAAAAGCAAAGTAACAAATTTACCTTGGGCAGACTGCCTAGAGCATTCCATGCATCCCATTTGGCCTTATTAATAAAGTCAAACACACCTGGTTTGGGCATATTGCAAGGTCCTTCAGTGGCCTGTGAAAAGGAGAGGGGCAATTTTTAGCCAAATGTCCAAATAAATTGGAGCCTTAAAGTTTAAGATCCATAAAATCCACAACTAGGATGAATGTGCCTTCCCTCCCAACTACTTTCACAAGGTACATAAATGGATCTGAACTTCCCCTTTGTCTTCTCTTTGGTGCTGTTGTTAAAAATGCATAAGTAACAGAAAAAAGACTGGAGAGACAAAGTGTGCTATTGGCTATGAATCCGTGAAATAAGTTATAACCACCTACATATGAAAATGCTGCAAGATAAAGGTTGTGGGAAAGCACTTTTCAAAAATTCTAATAGTTCATTAGTTTTAAATTGATAATCACATTTTCACATATAAATAAAATATTCAAGCAAACAATCTTTAAAGGTAATTAGCCAAGAAACATTTAGAAACTCACAGTCTACCCTAAAAGCCCATTCAAAAATACAAAAAACTGCCACTAATTCAATGGTGGATTTCTGGTGACTGAGCAACAGAGTTGTAGCTGAGGGAGCAGGATGGGGCTGTCAGAGCCACTGGCCCTTAGGAAACTGAATCAAAGGACATGTGAGTAGAAAGCAAAAAGCAACTAGACTTTTTACTTGTTTGAGGGTAGGTGGAGTGAGTGTTTTGAGATGAATAAAATATTCTACCTTATCAAGTACTTTTCAGAAATGGCAATTTAAGACTCCACTAAATAACTACTAAAAATTAACTAAAAATGTTAAATTACATAATATAATTAGCTAAAAGAGGAAAGAAGAGCTTTGAAAAACAAAGGCAGTAAACAAAGCTAAGACTGTCCAAAGACAAAGAAACAAAAGTGACTGCAAGAGTTAACCACCTCAGAAATTAGAGGCAACCAAGTCCACAAAACTTCCCCTACTTCTAATGCCAAATGCAAGGTTAGAGGACTCCTATTACCACTCTCAGGTTCAGAAATATGCTAGAATGACCCACAGAACTCACTGAAAGCTGTTATACTCACGATTACAATTTACTGCCAGGAAAGAATACAGATTAACATCAGCAAGGGAGGAGATACATAAGGTAAAGTCTGGGGAAGTATACCCCTCCCACCCCACTGTGGGGTCAGGACAGTGTACCTCTCCCAGAATTGATGTGTGACAACACACATGGATATCTATCACCTACCAGGGAAGCTCACTCAAGTCTCAGTGTTCAGAGTTTTCATCGTGAGCTTCATCGGCATGGAATATGTAACTGAAGTCCCACTGTAAATCACATTGTTACTATCTTATGGCCAGTCCCACTCTAAATCACACTGTTAGATTCTGCAGGCAAAGACACTCCTATCAGGCATGGCATTTCAAGGGTTTAGATATTGGGTAATCTAAGGTAATCTTGCCCAGAAGCCAAGGGCAAAGGTCATACCTCTTTTTGGTAGGAGAGGCTCATGCCAATCACAGGAAGAGAATAACAGATAACACACAGGAGCCCTAGTCTTTAGACATTGCAACTTAAAATTTACATTTTGAAACTTTGTTATAAAAGTTTTCAAAGAGACACAAAAATAAAATATTACAATGAATTTCCAATATTCATCACCCAATAAACAACTATCATTTTTGCCATACTCGCTTCCTCCATCTTTTTCTTTCTTTTTCGCTTTAATTATTTTAGTGAACCCCAAGCACCATTCAGTTTCACTCCTACATTCTTTTTTTTTTAAATCCTCACCTGAGGATATATTTTTTCCATTGATTTCTAGAGAGACAGAGGGAGAGGGACATCTATTGGTTGCCTCCTGCATGAGGCCCGACTACGGAGCTGGGGCTCCTGCAACCCAGGTGCCCTTGACTGGGAATCGAACCCGTGACCCTTTGGTATGTGTGCAGATGCTCTAACCACTGAGAAACATCAGCTAGGGCACATCCTACATTATTTTTTTTTTTTAAAGTCTCACCTGAGGATATTTTCCCATTGATTCTTTAGAGAGAGTGGAAGGGACGGGGAGAGACAGAGAAAGAAACATCAATGCCAGAGTGACACATTGAATGGTTGCCTCCCGCACACACCAGGAAACACCCCGACCAGGCTGGGTATCAAGCCTACATATATGCCCCTGACCGGAATCGAACCAGGGACCCTTCAGTCTTAGGGCCACCATTTTATCCACTGAGCCAAACTGGCTATACATTCTTAATACGAATTCGGGGGGGGGAGGGGGGGGGTTCAGCATTTTCTTATATAACCACTATACTATTAACAGTTTCTACTCAGTCCATATTCAAATTTCCCCAGCTTTCTCAGAACAACTTTTTCAGTTGATTTATTCGAATCGGCAGCCAAATAAGGTCTACACATTTGGTTGTTATATCCTTCAAGTCTCTTTTCCTCTGGAGTGGTCCTGAGGGGTTACTTTTTGCCTTAACAGGGTTTGAAAATGTAATATACAAACACATGTATACTCCTGTGAGAAGTTCACACAAGTGGAACGGTTCTAAAATAGAGCCAAAGTAGCTACTGCAGAAAAATTGCTTGTACATTTTGTTCCCGGAACCTCTGAAATGTTTGTGAACTGACAAAATAATTTTTGGACTGGGCCAAAGCAATTATTTGTAAAACTACAGGAAAGCAGACACCCGGGCCATAAGGAAAGATTTTACCTTTCTGAAGATAGAATCAGTAACTCAATGTGTCAACACCAATAGAAATCTCTTTCCTTTATTCATGTAATCATTTCCCTTCCTTTCTTATAAAAAACCTTTGCCTTCACCCTGTAATTAGGATGCAATTTGTGTTTCTGCCTGAATCTATACCCTGAATTGCAATTCTGTGACCTCAAATAAATACTTGTTAAGCCTTTCACTTTGACATTTTATTTTTAGGTTAATACACTCTTTAAAGGCAGCAAAACAGCCCTGGCCCCTGGCCGATTGGCTCAGTAGATAGCGTGTCAGCCTGCAGACTGAAGGGTCCCGGGTTCGATTCCAGTCAAGGGCATGTACCTTGGTTGCGGGCACATCCCCAGTAGGGAGTGTGCAGGAGGCAGCTGATCAATGTTTCTCTCTCATCGATGTTTCTGACTCTCTATCCCTCTCCCTTCCTCTCTGTAAAAAATCAATAAAATATATTTAAAAAAAGATAAAAATAAAGGCAGCAAAACAAACCCTAAAAATAGTAAAGCTGAATTTCAGTAAAACATACAGTTTATCAATTTGAGGCGCTATCTACTCAAAACATCTCTAAATTATATCAGACCACAGACATTTACCTGCTTATATAGTGCATAGAGTCTTAGCTTCACTTCATTTCCTGGATCCTTCTTCAACAGTTTTACCTGATTCATTGCACTTTCAAAGTCCTCCTGACTGGCTCTCATTGCTGTTCCACTCAAGTGCAACTGAAGTGATGGGAAACTAATGACCTGCAGAGGACTGCAAACAGGCAGACGGATTTCTAATTATTCCCAACACTTACATACTAAAATGCTATGTTTCTCTATAAATATTTTCCCTATACTTGCCCCAGCAACCTGGGTGCAAAGGTCAGTGGTTTCTAAAATGATCCCTAGATAAGACACCAATACAGAAGCTAACTGTAGTAATTTAAAAATAACAGTAAAAGAAGCTACTATCCAGCACATTATTTGTAGCAATTCAAATTAAATACCACACGGATACTGCAGATTTGGCTCCAGACCAGCACAATAAAGTGAGTTTTGCAATAGAGCAAGTTCTAATCTTTTGGCTGGTGGAGGGTCTTGCCTTCAGTTTGTAAAGAGAATGCAACAACACCTGTTAAGTGCAGCAAAGTGCAATAAAACGAGGTATGAGGAGCCCAAATGCCCTTGTAAATTTTGCCACAGGCAAGAAGTAAATGAAAGGCATACAAGGTAGAAGAGAGCAGGAGACTAAGACCAAGGGGGAAACTGCACTGAAAGAATTTAGTAGTTTGTGTCCCAAGGCCTAGAAACAGCTCTGCACTTAACAATGAGCAGACACAGACTCACTCCTAACCCCACTATGTTTTAACCAGACAGCCAGGAGCAGAACAGCAAGCACCGCTGGTAAGTTCTTAAGCTCACACAGTTAGCAGAGGGAAGGAAAATTCAGTGCACAATATTGAGGCCACAAGCAAAAAATGGATGTTCACAATGATGATCTTGGATAATAAAGTTAATTGCGCCAAAGATGACAAAATAATAGTTACAAATAAAGCCCAAACATAGCAAATGTATCACCTCCTCTGCACTAATGTAATCTTCAAAGAGTAGGATGAAGTCTAGGATCAAGAATTGAGATATTATTCTGTAATTCAATAAAACTGGTCTTCAATAGGTTTTATACTAAATATTTGACCGAGTGCTGGTTTTCTCCCCCGTGGGGAAAACTCTGTATCCTATAGGAATTTGGCACCTGGCAGATTCCAAGTAGAAAACGAAAAGAAAGTAAAAAATAAAAAAAGTCCAAATAAGGCCTAAATGTGCAAGTTCTCACAAACTATAGTGCAAACTTATTTATTTTAAAATAAAGTGAGTTTTAAAAAATTGCAAAACACGACCGTTTAATATAGAAAATAAAGAAAATAACTCAAAACTCCATTACCACAAGGCAACCACCAGGTCCCAGGGTTTTCTGTTTCCTACGGATAGATTCGTTTGGGTTTTTACATGTTTTTCGTACCCCGCCATTTGGCATTACAGAAGTATTCTCCAAAAGGCAGACAGTGGTTCTCAACCTTCTGGCCCTTTAAATACAGTTCCTCATGTTGTGACCCAACTATAAAATTATTTTCGTTGCTACTTCATAACTGTAATGTTGCTACTGTTATGAATCGTAATGTAAATATCTGATATGCAGGATGGTCTTAGACGACCCCTGTGAAAGAGCGTTCCACCGCCAAAGGGGTCGCGACCCACAGGTTGAGAACCGCTGGTTACACTGCTCCTAAGACTTTTGTTTCCACAGCGTCCCGCACACAAGCACGGCATGCTCACACGCTCTCAGTCGGTGCGTTTCAGCACGGAGCACCCAGGGTGGGGGCCCCGCGCAAAGGGAACAGCAGTCGGGCTTCCCGACGCCTCCCCGTGACCCCTCCGCGCCGAGGAGGAGGGTGCGCCTTTCTGAAGGGCACTTGGTGTCACTCTCTCCTCGGAAGACCCTACCAGCAAAACCCCGGTGCAGCGGAGACAAGACACAGAGAGGGAGCTCCCGCGGCGGCACCCCCGCAAGGACAGCGGCGTCCCGCGTGTGACGGGCCCGGGCTCAGCACTTACCTCCGGACGGCACTCCGACACCAGCGCCGGGCCAGCCTCCCCGCCACGCCCGCCATAGCGATCCCGGGGGCGTGGAGGAATTCGGTGGGTGGGGTGAGGCTGGGGTGGAAGGGCCCGGATAGGCGGGCGCGGGGATGGGGGGAGGAGGGGCTGGGGGCGGGAGTGCGGCCGCGGGGCGAGGGCGGGGAGGGCCGGTGGCGAGGAGGGGCCGGGACACAATAGGGGCGGGACCGGGACACAATAGGGGCGGGGCCTGGACACAATAGGGGCGGGGCCGGATCGCGAGGGCGGGGCTGTGGGAGCAGGTGGGCGGGGACGCGCTAGGTCCTTGTTTCGTTTTGTTGGTGTGGGAATTGAGGTCCAGAAAACATTAATTAGGTGACTTTCCCAAAGTGGTCAAAGTCCTGATTCAACCCCCTGCTCGGAGTCCAAGGCCCAAGTGAGTTTATTATTCCGTGCAGGTGGCCCATTATTATTTGTGCTTCATCAGGCGGATCTGGGTAATAGTGTAGGTGGGGGTGAGATTGAAGGCCAAGTAGAACAATTTGGACTTATTCTAAATATTTTTTCAGATATTGCAAGATGATGTTTGGGAGGCTGAGCTGAGTCAAAGACCCTGACCCCGCTCCCAGGCTGAGTTAGGTGGCCCTCGGAGGTAATGGGATACACTAGTCGGAAAATGCGGATTCTGGGAGATTCAGTGGGCTCCAGAAGATGAAACTCCTCTCATAGAAATACTATTAATATTTTTAAAAGTCCTTTACTGGGAAGCAGGTTTGGATTGCGAACCCTTTTATAATACAAGTGAACTCTCCTGGGCTTATGCCTCTTATATTTCACACAGAAAAGTGGGGTGTGGGAAATTAGCTCTTTATCAAAAGTATAATTTAACAAATACAGAAAGAACATGTGTCAAAGATTGACTTAACTTACTAATTAGGGAATCAGTATAGTAATAACAGCATTTGAAAGAATAGTTTATATAGTTAGTGTAAAAAAATGCTGGAATAGATTGCCAAGTTTGATACAAAAATGATTAATGTCCTACAGAGCAATAAAACCATAACCTTTGAAGTAACTCCCCTCCCCACCCCCCAAATTATTTGCATCTCTACCAGCTGTCATTTACTAAAGACCCCTTAAATGGCAGTGTTTGAGTGAGGGGAGAGGGTTGGGAAGACATTACTGGCAGAGAATGTCCACCTTGGTGTATTAAACTGTTCTCAGGAGTGCAGGCCACGCCATTTAATCATGGTGACCATGGCCTTACGGGTGAAGAGACCAGTTCTCAGAAAAGGGAGCCATTGTGAGTGGGTTAGATGCTCCACCTGAACCTGAAGATGATTTTATCCATGATAAGGATTTCGGATTCTGTGTTGAGAGTGAAGCATGGTAGCAATCACCTCAGGTAGAAACTATAGTTTACCTTTAACCCTGCTGTTTGGCTTCTGTACCTATTTGCTTTAACAATAGAAAGGTTATTTTGATTTTCTGAATTATATAAATCATTCCATTCAATTGAATACCCTGTTGATTGTAATGTGAAATCCTATTTGTTGTGGTCATACTGGTCTTAGAAAGCACATTTTCCTTTACCTGGGATGGACAGCACAGTTATCCCAAGGTCAGAGGGCTCCAGTTAACGTGTCCCTGTTGACTCAGTGTTCCCAAAACATTACAACAAGAGCAATGGAGAGCCACTGAAGATTTAAGTAGTATGCCTGGTTATCCATTTCCTAGTATAATCATATATTCCTACTATATACTTATGTTGTAATGTACCCTGTGAATCACACAAAGACACCTCAAGAAGTCGAATTAAAGGGTCACATTTATTGCAAATCCAGGACTATGAGGGGGCATTTCGCTCTCCCAGATCTCATAGTGATAAGATGGTCGCAACACCAGGTTTATATAGGCAAAAATCACAAAGGTATTGATTACATCCCAGGGTTTGAATGAGGAACCTGGTTCGCAAAAAAGCAGTTTACAGAAGCAAAGCAGCATGTTATCTAAATTATAGTTTTGGGTCTCCGGATCACTGAATTGACAGAAACACATTATCTAGAGACCTTGGGTCTGGAATGAGGAACCTGGTTTGCAAAAAGCAGTTTACAGAAGTAGAAGCAGCATGTTATCTAAATTATAGTTTTTTTGGGTCTCTGGAACACTGAGTCAACAGGGACACGTTAACTGGAGCCCTCTGACCTTGGGATAACTGTGCTGTTCTTCCCAGGTAAAGGAAAATGTGCTTTCTAAGAGCAGTATGATTCATATTACAATCAATAGGGTATTCAATCGAATGGGATGATTTATATAGTTCAGAAAATCAAAATAACTTTTCTATTGTTAAACAAAGCAAATAAGTACAGAAGCCAAACAGCAGGGTTAAAGTTAAACTATAGTTTCTACCTGAGATGATTGCTACCATACTTCACTTAGAGCAGCGGTTCTCAACCTGTGGGTCGAGATCCCTTTGGGGGTCGAATGACCCTTTCACAGGGGTCGCCTAAGACCATCGGAAAACACATATATAATTACATATTGTTTTTGTGATTAATCACTATGCTTTAATTATGTTCAATTTGTAACAATGAAATTGGGGTCACCACACATAAGGAACTATATTAAAGGGTCGTGGCATTAGGAAGGTTGAGAACCACTGATTTAGAGTGAAATGCTTTCATATAAGAGTAAGAAATGCAGAAGCCCAGTCAAAATCTCATCCAAAAGTCTGAGCTCCACCCTGTTTTATATGATCAGTTCCCCTGGCGCTAATATCCTATTCAGTTAGATCCTATTATAGAGTATAAGAGGCCCGGTGCACCGGTGGGGCCCCTAGGCCTGGCCTGTGGGAATTGGGCCAAAACCAGCTCTCCGACATCCCCCGAGGGGTCCTGGATTGCCAGAGGGTGCAGGCCAGGCCAAGGGACCCCACTAGTGCATGATAGGGGCTGGGGAGGGACCCAGGAAGGGCTCTAGGGCATGTCCGGGCCCTCTTACCCAGTCTCTATCGGCCAGACCCCAGCAGCAAGCTAACCTACCAGTCGGAGCGTCTGCCCCCTGGTGGTCAGTGTGCATCAAAGCGACTGATCGAACTGTTGAATGAACAGTCGGTACATTCAGCATATTAGGTTTTTATTTTATAGGATTGATTGTCAGAAGGGGTCTGCTTACAATGGGATTGATGCTGTTGTCTGTACAGAGAATCCCAGACCCCCTGAATGGTCACAGGGCTGTAATAGCTCTTAGGGGTCAGGATGTCTGCGGGAGTCCAGCCCCAGCGGTCCAGGGGTTTCCAAAGGTGTGGACGGCGTTGGCGAAGAATGAAGGACACGGAGACACCATTCAGATGATCAGCATAGTCATGTTCTTTTTTATTGTCCTGTTACAGCTGTATTTATACTATTTGATTCTATAAGCATGCCTCTATAGTTACATCATGGTATGTTTTGGGTCCTCCTTTGACCTTTTACAGTTCCTTGTTTTATGTTTATAGTTTCTTATCTGACCTTTGCTAAAAATCTTATCTCTATCTAGTTCTGTTGATTTTAATCTTATCTATTGTCTATGTTTCAACATTCTATTCTAAAGGTTAGTTTCTGTGTTCCATTATAAGGGCTAGTTTGTTATTTCTATTCCAAGGTCACTATTCTACTGCTCTACTGTTAAGCTATAAGAAAATAACTGAAGGACGTTTTCCTATTCTATGGCCCAAGTAAAGGTTATGTAGTTTAAGCATGATTATTCTTAGCTATGGTGATTAACTACCTGTCTGGCACTTAGTTTAAGTCTTTCTGCTTGCACAGCTCACATAAGATTTTTAGATAAGGAGCCTGCCTGCATTGTTTGCAGCAGTATTTCTTTAACTGTTTGATATTTGTCTTTTTAGCCTTACTGGTGATCTTCCTTGGGACTGCCCTGCATCGGCAGGTTTTTAGGGGTATAGGCGTTGGTACTTTCTCTGGTAGGTAGATCCCTGGGGATGTGGGCCTAGCAAGTCCTAAATTTATTGCTAACAGTCTTAGTCTACGTTCCTCATAAGTAGTACATGGTATTTCTGTAACACTAGGGGGTTTTACTGATTTATTCCCTTCCCTAGTCCCGTTAATCCCTAACTCCAGGGAAACATTCCCATCTAGGGAAACAACCTTTCTCAGGGAGGTGGCCCTGGTTAGAACACATAGCACTAAGAAGGGGAGCAAACATATTAAGAACAGTCTGCCATATACGCCAGGTCCCTTGGAACATACGCTGTGCAGATGTTTCTTCCCTGCAGTGACTGTGTCAAGCAGTAAGGATGGAATGGCTTCCGGCAGATGTCCACTTCACAGTGTTGTGCTCAGTTGTGGGGCTAAATGTTTATTTTTTAAGATCACAGAGTAGAATTTACCATTTGTCACACTCCCATCAGTCACAATGATTATTTTTATTTCCGATATTTAAATATCATCAGGTGCTGTTACTATAACATAAAAAGCCTGTCGCATTCAGTCATAAGGAACTATTTGTCATCCTTGTTCAATTAGCAGTGCAGGCTAGGAACTTGGAAGCATCCTGGACTCCTTCTGTCTCACTGACACCTCACTTCTATCAGTTTCCAGGTCCTTGGGATTCTGTCTCCTAAATGTTTCTTCATTTTTTTTTCCTCTTTTCCCTCTACCACTATCCTAATTCAGGCCCTCATCATGTTTGGATTACTGTTACTTGAATTACCATTACTTAAGTTGCAAAACAGCCACTTAGCCATTTTTTCTGACTTGAGCCCCACATGTACAGTCCATTCTCACCCTGCTTCCTGGCTGATCTTCCTAAATTGTAAACCTGACACTACACTCATAATTCTTCCCCCATGATTGAAAATCCTGTGGATTGCCCCTTTGCTTTCTAAGCAAATCCAAACTTCTTAGCCTAACCAATAAAGCCCTCAAGGTTTGGCCCTTGCCTATCTGCCCAGTTCATCTCTCACCAAGGTTCACATTTGAATCTTTCACTTCGTATAAACTTGAGGTTCTCTAAGTCTCTGTATGTCTATGTTCAGGCACCACCTTATCCAGGATGTTCCTTCTGACCTTTGACTGGGTATGTTCTCTCCTTCTGAGCTCCTATAATCTCCCCAGGCTTCTCTTTCTCATAGCACCTGGTTAGTAATGTCTCCTTAGTCACCCAAGGGCACACCCTGAGAGGAATTCTACCCTTTCCAGTAAACCCCATTTCCCATCTCCTGGCACACTTCTTTTTTTTTTTAAAATATATTTTATTGATTTTTTTACAGAGAGGAAAGGAGAGCGATAGAGGGTTAGAAACATCGATGAGAGAGAAACATTGATCAGCTGCCTCCTGCACAACCCCCACTGGGGATGTACCCACAACCAAGGTACATGCCCTTGACTGGAATCGAACCTGGGACCTTTCAATCCACAGGCTGATGTTCTATCCACTGATCCAAACCAGTCAGGGCATCAACTTTTTCTTCTAATTCACTGATTTGATCCTCAGCTTCCCCTAATCTGCTGTGGCGCTGGGGTCCAACCCCAGCAGGCCCAGGGGTTCCCCATAGGTGTGGGTGGAGTCAGCGAAGAAGGAATGACATGGAGAAAGTTTTCAGTTGATCAGCAGCCTTGCCAGGATCTCTAGCCACAATCTCCAGCCAAGTTCTGTGTAGGTTCTCCAGCCAGGTTCTGTGTCCATGTTCTCTTGCTAGGTTCTCCAGCCAGGTTCTGTAGCCATGTTCCCTCGCTAGGTTCTCCAGCCAGTTCTGTCACCAGGTTCTAGTCAGGTTCTCTTGCCATGTTCTATCCAGATTCTGTAGCCAGGTTCTGTCTCTAGGTTCTGTTGCCAGTTTCTGTCCAGGATCTTTTGCCATGTTCTGTCTCTAGGTTCTGTCTCTAGGTTCTGTCCTGGCACACTTCTTGACATAAAATATTCTGTGTGTGGAATGGTGAATGAGCTGTTGAAAGTTTCTATCTAGACCATGTTTTTCCACATTTGATGATAAGTTGTGAGTAAATTGTCATCTTTTTATTAAGTTGTCAGAAGGGATAAATTAGTATTTTTGTGCTTTGAAATATTTCTTTCTCAATGAGAGTAGATTGAGGAGAAGGAATTTAACTATAGCCAGTTTCCTGCACAAAAACAAACTAGAAAAAATGGTACTAAAGTAGCTAGGTATTATTTAACTCTATAAATTTCTGAGGAAAAATCTATGATGTTTTCTATTAGTCATGAAAGGTATTAATCTATGTTTTGTGTTCTCTATTATAACTGTTTTGGGCTTTAGCTATATGCCACTGTTGGAGATGAGTTACACCTGTACTATTATTATGCTTTCTTCACCAAATTATCTCCTCCACTACCCCCACCCCCAGGTGGGCTTTGCGCCATCTTCCTATTTAGTCTTATATGTTCATGTCAGCAAAATTTAAAATAATATTTGGAATCTCATGTGTTTTTTCTTACTCCTAATTGTTATAATTTAGGGAAGAAAGACATTTCAGAAGTAAACATTTGACTCACTGTATCACCCCAGCTTTAATTTCATATAGCCGGATAATTTGTTCATTCACCCAAAGCTATTTTATCCACATTTTTTGTTTTGTGTTATACAAACATTAATTCTGCCTTGTTCTTGTTAGGTTGAAAGGGGGTCCAGGAGCTGATGCATGCCTCTACCAGGCAGATGGTGACGTAGATACTGGGCCCTTCCTGAAATCCATAACAGGCCAGTGTACCAGGTAAATGGTGACGCAGATACCGGTCCCGCCCTGGAATTCCTAACAGGTCAGCTACCAGACAGATGACGACACCTGGAAACCGTGACGACCCCCCGAGGCGGGAACTCCCACAGCTCATGCTCCCCCGCCCTCACTGAACAGCTGTATAAAAAAAGCGCCCTCCTCCCTGTTGGTGTGGATCCACGTGCCCTGTCTTTGGGGTTCGTGGGTCGCCCGGGACGCAGAATAAAGCCTTTCCTTTCTTTCTTTTCTGATTAACTCGACTCTCTTTATTTCCTACGCTGCCTCCTGAGCCACCTAACCTAACAGTTCTCAAGGATTATTTTTCAACTGTTCTTCTCTAGCAAAGAGATCACCCTCAGGTACTCTGCTCTGAGAATGATTGAAACTGATAGATATTAATCTACAAGAAATGCCTGATTTTTCCAGAGTCATTCCACTTTTTCTTGTTACCAAAGCTTAACTTATACCCTAAGTGCTTAGACAAGAACAATGGCTACAGTGAAATTGAACTGAGGAGAGAGAGCCACAGAAGAATCCTAAGCTTTGTAGTCAGCACAATGTTTTATGACGCACTTTGATTCCAGGCTGAGGAAGAAGTCAGAGGATGGCATCCAGGGTGGTGGAGCGGCTGTCACCCTTGTTGACCAGCACAGGCGCCCTCGCCTCTCCTTTTCGTATAGGAAAGGAGTAAATTAAAAGTTCTATCCATAAATGTTCAAATTAAGATCTTGAAGAGACATAGATAATACTCATTATTCTCAGATTCCGTATCTGAGAATTCACCTACTTGCTAAAATGTGTTTGTAACCTCAGAATCGATGCTTCCTGGCCTCCAGCAGTTGTTTGCAGATGTGCACAGAGAATGGAAAAATTTGAGTTTCTCCACATGCGTGCTCCCAGCTGAGGTCAATAAGGTGACGCTCTGCCTTCTTGTTCATACTGTAAACAAGTGTCCTTTTCATGGTCTCTTTAGTGTCAGGTTTTCTACGTTTTTGTGTTTTTGGTGATTTCACTGCCTCCAAATGCAGCACTTAAGTGCTGCCTAGCTTACCTAGGTGCAAGAAGGCTGTGATGTGCCTTACGGAGAAAATACAAGTGCTTGATAAGCTTCTTTCAGGCTGAGTTGTAGTGCTGTTGGTCATGAGTTCAATCTTATTGAATTGATATATTGATTCATTATATATTAAATTGATGTATTGAAAAAAAACACTCATAAAGCAAGGTTATGTAGCGATCAGTTCATGAAAATGTTGTGACCAGAGGCTCGTAGGAACCTAACCCTGTATTTTCTCTAGGAGCAATGGTTCTGGATTCATTAACTTAGTGTTCCCTGCAACTGTAGAGGATCTAACTTCCACCAATAATGAGAATTAACTGTATATGCAGCTGACCAATCAGTTTAGATGGAAAATATAAAGAATGATTCACTGTTTCCAGACTGCAGTTGTCTTCTGCTCCATCTCGCCCTTCTCCGGTAGATCCTGTTTTACTTTTGTCCCTTTACCACACACCCTGTGTATGTGACTGTCTCTCCCTCATATGAACTATATGTCCCCTGAAGCCTGTAAATATGTTTCCTACATGGCAGAAGGGATTTTGCCATATGACTAATTTAGGGATCTTGAAATGGGAGATTATCCTTGTTTATCTGAGTAGACCCAATGTAATCATAAAGGTCTTTAAATGAGGGAGACAGGAGGGTAAGAGTCATGGAAAAAGACAATGGAAGCAGAGATTGAAGTGATAGGGTCAGCCTAGAAGTTATAAAAGGCAAACATTTCCCAATAGATTCTCGAGAAGGAATGCAGACTCACTAACACCTTGATTTTAGCCCACTGGGATTGATGTTGGACTTCTGACCTCCAAACTATGTAATAGATTTGTTTTAAGTTACTAAGTTGTGGTAACTGTAACCATTGTGTGTATATTTATTTGTTTTATTGTTTGTATAACCATATTGAAAGATATTTTTGTTGGGTAAAGAATTATAGATTGACAGAAGTTTCTTTTTCTTTTCCCCCTTAGTACTTTTTAAAAAATATATATTTTTATTGATTTCAGAGAGGAAGGGAGAGGGAGAGAGAGATAGAAACATCAATGATGAGAGAGAATCATTGATTGGCTGCCTCCCGCACACCCCTCACTGGGGATAGAGCCTGCAACCTGGGCATATGCCCTGACCGGGAATCGAACCAGTGACCTCTTGGTTCCTGGGTCGACCCTCAACCACTGAGCCACACCCGGCTGGGCTCCCCCTTAGTACTTTAAACCTCTTATTTCACTGTCTTGCATTGTTTCTGGTGAGAAATCTGCTGTCAGCCTCATCTTTGTTCCTTTGCATATAATGTGTTTTTCCCCCCTCTATTTGCTTTTAGATATTCTGTTTGTTACTAGTATTAAGCAATTTGATTATGATGTGCTTTGGTATAGTTTTATTCATGCTTCTTGTTTGTGCTGAAAGTTTGTTTGCCCTTCTTGAATATGTAGACTTATAGTTTTAACATATTATTTAAATCTTTAACTCTTTTTTTAATTTTTTTTCTGTTACACCCTCTTTTTTCCTTGGAGACTACAATTCCATGTATATTAATCTGCTTGAAGTTGTCCAACAATCTACTTGTACTCTGTATATTTTTCAATATCTTTTCTCTCTCTGTGTTTTATTTTAGGTAGTTTCTATTGCTTTGTCATCAATGTCACTTATGGTTTCTCCTGCAATGTCTAATGTGCTGTTATTCCATTCAGTACGTTTTTCATCTCAGACACTGTATTGTTGTCTCTAGAACTTTGATTTTGGTTTTAACATGTTTACTGGTTCCTCTCATCCCCTGAACATATGAAAAACAATAATACAGACTGTTTTTAATAACTTTATCTTCTATTCTATCATCTATATCTTTTCTGTGTTAGTTTCTATGGATTAATTTTTCTCTTCATAATGAGTTATATTTTTCTGCTTCTTTGCATGCCTGCTAAATATTAATTGGATCCCAGATATTGGAAATTTTATCTTGATAGGTGCTGGATATTTTTATATTTCTGTAAATATTCTTGAACTTTGTTCTGGAATGTGGGTAAGGTAATAAAGAAATACTTTTTTTTTTTTAATGTTGCTTCTAAGGGATGATCAGAACAGGGTTTAGTTTAGCATTAATTTCCTCCACTATTAAGACAAAACCTTCCTGAGTACTGTACCCAATCTCTCTGAATTAAAATGTTTTCCAGCCCTGGCCAGCGTGGCTCAGTTGATTGGAGCATTGTCCGGTACACTGAAAGGTGGTGAATTTGATTCGTGGTCAGGGCACATATCTGGATTGTGGGTTCAAACCCTGGTCAGGGTGCCAGGAGGCAACCCGTCGAAGTTTCTCTCTCTCAAAATCAATCAAATAAAATTTAAAAAAGCATGTCCTCGCGTGAAAAAAAAAAGTTTTCCACTCTGAATGGTGAGAGCAGGCACTATTCCTGCCCCAGTGTGATCACTGGAGGTCGTTCCTTCTAATCCTTTTGGGAAATTATTTCCCTAACCTGGGCTAGTTTTCTCATGTTTGTCTACATGAGGAGAAACACCTGCACATTAATGAGAATGTCCTCTTGTTCAGCTCTCTCCTTGTTGATATTCAGCACTGTGAACTTCAGCTGTCCTGACCTTCCTGACCTCCCAACTCGAGAAACCACGAGGTTCTGACTAAGTTCCACCTTTCTGTGCCACGGTCTGAAATATTTATCAAAGCAGTAAGCTGGGGTATTGCAGGCATCACTTTATTTTTCCCTCTTCTCTCTGGAGAATTGTTTTGCGATGCCTATTATCCAATGCCTGAAAACCATTGTTTCGTGTATTTTGTCCATTTTTTTTAGGTGTTTTGGGTGAGCATGTAAATCTGGTCTCCCTTATTCCATCTTGTCTAGAAGAAGTTTTATTCTTTTTAAAAAAATATATTTTATTGATTTTTTACCGAGAGGAAGGGAGGGGAATAGAGAGTTAGAAACATCGCTGAGAGACAAACATCGATCAGCTGCCTCCTGCACACCCCCTACTGGGGATGTGCCCGCAACCAAGGTACATGCCCTTGACTGGAATCGAACCTGGGACCCTTGAGTCCGCAGGCTCTATCCACTAAGCCAAACCGGTTAGGGCTATTCTTTTTTTTCTTTTCTTTTTTTTTAAATATATTTCTTTATTGATTTCAGAGAGGAAGGGGGAGGGGAGAGAGAGAAACATCAATGATGAGAGAGAATCATTGAATGGCTGCCTCCAGCACGCCCCCTACTGGGGATTGAGCCCGCAACCCAGGCATGTGCCCTTGGCCAGAATGGAACCTGGGACCCTTCGGTCTGCAGGCTGACGCTCTATCCACTGAGCCAAGCCGGCTAGGGCGGAAGTTTTATTCTTTCCACATATAATATTTAGTTGAATGGCTGAACTGTAGTTTATTTAAGAAGTCTTTGTTTTCCGTACTGGCTGCACCAGTCTGCATTCCCACCAGCAGTGCACTAGGGCTCCCTTTTCTCCACATCCTCTCCAGCACTTGCTGTTTGTTGATTTGCGGATGGTAGCCATTTTGGCAGGTGCAAGGTGATACCTCATTGTTGTTTTAATTTGCGTCTCTCTGATGTGACTTTGATCATTTCACATGTCTCTTGGCCATGTTTATGTCCTCTATGGAGAACTGTCTATTTAGGTCCTTTTGCCATTTTTTAATTGGATTGTTTGTCTTCCTTTTGTTAATTTGTATGAGTTCTTTATATATTTTGGAAATTAACCCCTTATCAGATGTATCATTGGTGAATATGTTCTCCCATATAGTGGACTCCCATTTCATTTTGAAGATGGTTTATTTTGCTGTGTAGAAGCCTTTTATTTTGATATAGTCCCATTAGTTTATTTTTCCCTTGCCCTAGGAGATGTATTGGCAAACATATTGCTATGAGAGATGTCTAAGATTTTGCTGCCTATTGTTTCTTCTAGGATTTTTATGGTTTCACTACTAGAGTTTCCTCAAAATATTAAAAATGGAACTTCCATTTTACCCAGTGATCCCACTTGTAGGAATATATCCTGAGAATCCCCAAACATCAATCAGAAAGAATATATGCACCTCTATGTTCATAGTAGTACTATTTATTATAGCTAAGATCTGGAAACAGCCCAAGTGCTCATCAGTAGATGAGTGGGGGGAAAAGCTGTGGTACATTTATTCCATGGAATACTATGCAGCAGTAAAA